TAGGACCTCTGAGTCACCTTCCTGCTTGGAGGGACTACAAGGCAAGGAGGGTGCTGAGAAGCTACAAAGTTTACAGGTTCACGGGTGACAAGGACAGCTTGTAGGACACAAGCCTCACTCCCCTGTCCTGCCATTAGCTACATTCCAGAAGCAGAATAAGAAGAGACCAGAGATCCCAAAAGCCCAGCTTCCCCTTTCTACATGTAACCTCACCTCTTCCAGGCTTGGACCCCTTCAAAAACCACAGCTTTGTGTTCAAGGAGGAGCAAAAATACATCAACTAAAGCAACAAGGCGCTTTTGGTTTTACCAAAAGGGAAAGAAAAAGAGAAAAAAAAAAAAAAAACACCAGCCCCCACATCCTGCCTCTGGAAAGAGCTGCCCCTGCTGGGAACACTGCCCATGCAGGGAGGGGCCCTCCCAACTAACCCAGTTTCTCACCCATCCTGAGGCCTAAGGGGCTGCTGAAGTGGTGGGGATAAGAAGCAACAAGGAGGCATTGTTTGACCAAAGGGGGGAAAAAGAACAGTCAAAAAGATCAAGGCTAGACTTGAGGAAGAACTTATTAGTCCTTAGGCCTGCCCCTGCCCCCGCCCCTGCTGGCAATACATAAAGAGAAATGATTCTGCCAAGTTGAGTAAGACACGAACATGCTAGGCCTCAGTTTCCTCATCTGTAAAGTAGGGGTGTTAAGAAGCACCAGCATCCCTGAGGTTCCTTAAGGCCCTGACATCTGTAAGCATAGGGATTTGGGGATGACAGGGGTGAAGAGGCTGCATTTGGTCACTTTGGCTACCCGTGTGCACTTGCCCTCCCCATCCCAGACATATATACACACTCCTCCCCCCACCACCCCTGGTACTATCCTCAGCTCCCTCAGAGATCTGATCCTACTTCTCCCAGTCAAAGGCAGAGAATGCTGGGATTCTCAGTCCTGGATTTGCCAGCTACTGTCCCACCTCTGAAAAGCAGCTGGGATTAGAGGCTCTTAAGTACCCACCCCATCTAGCACAGATGCCGCCCACCCCCATCTGAGGTCTGAGGGGAGGGGGAGCAACTGAGTCCCTGGTTCTCTAGAATCAGGGACCATTCCATTCTCCTCTGCCCTTTACCCCACAGTTCAAGGAAACTGGAGAATGGCTCCCACAAAGCTGCAGTCAATGAAGAGAGAAAAGGTGCCACTGCACCCCCTTTCCCTTCCCCAACCTCTACCCATCCCCACTTGACCCCACCTCCTGTCCTCCAGACCTGTCCACAGCTCCCCAAGAGGAAGCCCCCAAGGAAGGAGGAACAGCCTGGTTTCTCCCCATCCCCACCCTCAGTCCTGACCTTCAGGCTCCCAGGCTATTTATTTGCATGGAGACAAAGAAACAGGTTTCTATTAAGCCAGGGCATAGCCATATCTGCCCCACTTTTGGAAAATTCAGTTTACAAAATAAATAACTTAGGGCATAAATATTTCTCTAACCAACACCGCAGGCTCAGCCGCCCACCTAGAAGCTTCGAGAGTGAATTTGATTAGGTGGCGATTAGCAGTTCTTCCTCCACTGCCGGCTATTGTGCAAAAGCAGGCAAAGCAGGCGTGTGGGCTCTACCTTGCCCAGCAAGGTCCGCATGGCTGCAGCCCCGAATATGAGAACACTGCACAGCTCATTCAGCTGGCTCCCCGGCCCCCTTCCCCAGCCCCAGCCCCAGAATATCTGCATATACACTGGGCATGTGTATAACTGCACGGACATGGATGTCCACCACACCAGGAAGGCTGGCTGTGACCTCTGGCCTGTGTTCTCTCCCTTACCTCACCCTGAAATAAGCCTAATGGAAGGAAAGAAACAGGATGAAGCCAGTGACGCTACAGAGAAGGAAGCCAGGCCTATGAGCCACAAAGCCAGGCCCTAACAGAGATGGAGGAAAGCTATTCCCTGGAAGCTTTTGGGAACCTGAGTGTCACTTAAGGATGAGGCCAGAGGCAGGAAGAAAATAAGAGAATGACAGTGAACATCCAGCACAGAGCCTGACACATAGCAGGTGCCCAGGAAATACTCTTGGGTCTAGAATCCAGCATCCTTACATAGGAATTTTTAAACATAGGGTAATCCAAGGCTTAGACAGGTCCAGAGAGCACTCTCTATAGGCAAGACCCACATCTGGTTCATCCCAAAATCCCCATCTGGCTTACTGGCCTGACTATCAACCCTTATCCTGGGCAAGGTGCTACGACAGCTAGAGGGAAAGACGGCTTGGTCACAAAGCCCCCGATCTTCTCCCTCACAGGCTCTACCGCAGGAAACACCCCAGCGGGGACCAAAGGTCAACTAGGTATGGCAGAGGCCATGGCTGTAAAGGCAGAAGAGGAAACAGACAGAGGCTAACCTGGTTCCTTTCCCTGGAGGCCAGGAGAGATAGGGGAACCTCTGCTTCTGCAGGATGGAAGCGCCATCAGCATCCAGAAGAGGGAGGCTGCTGCTTCTGCCCCTCCTGGACAGCCCCAGCCCCTCTAGGCACCCTATGACCCCACTTGCTACAGTTTCTCCAGAAAAGAGTGAGAAAAATAGGCTCAAACTTTAGTCCTTGGCTGAGAAAATGCAGAGAAAACAAGGACGAGCCTCTGATTTTTCTCTAACTCCCAATGCTCGCTGAATTCTAGGCTACCAGAGTCTTCAGGAAGAGACTTAAAAGGCATAGAGCCCTTGCTACCCACTGGGATCTGGGCTCAGCCAGACTTCTGTCTAGTGGGAAGGTGGCTTAGAATCTAGCCTGGAATGGTCTAGCAATCAAGGGGTTAAAGGCCCTGGCTTCTCTGAACCCCACCCCACTCCCCAAAGGAGGGAGGAAGTGGCAGAGAACCAGGGCTTGTGTGAGCCCTTAAGAATTTGAAGAATGTCCCATTTCCCTTGGGTGGGTGGGAGGGGTTGGTGAGGGGGGTGGGAGAGGAACAGTGGAAATTAATGGGAGAGAAGCAGCAGCTGAAGCAGGCAAAAGGCCAGGGGCCAGGGGCCAGGACAGAACCGTGACCCTTCCTCTGTCACCCCCAGAAACCTGCCCAGTGCCCAATCCTTACAGAAAGGACAACCTTCAAGTTGCTTCCTGGGTTTGAGACTGTATCAGGAACCTGTTTTCCCTGCACCTGGCACAGGTTAGCATCTAACCTGCTGCAGGGTGGGCAGTAAGTGTCTGCTGAATGATCAAACCCCCAAAGAGACAGGGCTGTGGAACTAGCAGGCCAAGTGAAAGAGGGGAAAGGAAAGACAGTCCTTCAAAGAGTATAACCCTAACTTTTTTAATACCTTAACTTTTTAAAAACAAGTTCCAAAAGTCCCTTCCTGGATGAACTTTGGCTGCAAAGACCCTCCTGAATGAGAATTAAAACACAGAAATTGGACAAGTCAGATCCTAAATTTATCTGAATGCCAATGTTGCTACTTACAAGTGACTTGACCTTCTGAAGCCCCCAACTCACAGCAGCTGTGAGGTCCCTAATCGAGTTCTAAGTTTCCACTTGCTACAAGGTCAACTTCAAGAGGTCAATGCCCCCCTCTGGAACTGCATGGAATGGGATGGGGTACCCCACTGATACTGGAATTTCACTGTTCAGTAGGTCCTTGGTCCTGGGGATTTGAGGAATGAACCCACAGACCACAGATCGGTGGCAAGACAGGATTTTTATTAGACAGAAAGGAATACAGAAGAAAAGGCACCAGATCGTCTGGAAGGGGGAAAGAATTAACTGGGGAGTCTCTACATGGGGTCTTTTCTTTATCTAGGGGTATCAGGTCTTGAGAATCACCCTTGGCCAGGACTTGGTAGGTGGAAAATCATCTTTTCAAAGTTAATGAGTACATTAACAAATGAATGAATGTAGTTCTTCCTGCTAGGGCAAAGTTATCAGGTCCTTTACAGTTTTTGTCTCTGAGAAGTTAGGGTGTGTGCTCCCTACTCAAGGTGGAACCACCCAAAAAACCATCTCAGGCTGCTTTGTTCATGAACTTATTAGAGCCTGAAGAAAGCAGTCTATTCATAGCCGGGTGTTGTGGCGGGCGCCTGTAGTCTCAGTTACTCCAGAGGCTGAGGCAAGAGAATCGCCTAAGCCCAGGAGTTGGAGGTTGCTGTGAGCTGTGACGCCACATCACTCTACCGAGGGCGACAAAGTGAGACACTGTCTCTAAAAAAAAAAGACAAGTCTGTTTGTGCCTGGAAATGGGGGTCTGATTTCTGAGCTCACCTGGGCCTAGAGAATGGGGGGCTCTCTGTCCAGCCCTGAGTGGTGGAATCCTGTATCACCATCTCTATACCACCTCCCCACTCCCCTCTCCACTTCCAGGGAGCCAGGCTGCAGGTCCCAGAGCAAAAGGAACAGAGTCCAACCTACTATACCCACAAACAACATCTCTGCAGCACCTCTCACCAGGCAGGGAAGTCTGCTTGGGGCAGACTATGCCCTCCATGCTGGAGCCAGAGTTCCAGAAAGTTTTCTTGAAAGGACAACTGGAGGAAGGGGCCCCCCCACAACCCAGGAAGCCCAAGTGAACAAAGGAAACTGTCAACTGCTGTTTCAAGGAGAGGAAAGAGTGAAAGTAAAGGGAAGGGAAGTAAAGGGAAGAACAAAGCCGCCAACCCCAAACACCACTGGGCACAAACAAGCAGGTCTCATACTCTCCAGGGACCACGCTGGATCCCTCTCTTGCAACAGGGTATGGTGGAAAGAACGAGCTCACTGCCACCCAGAGACTGGGTGAGAGTTAGCCTCTCAATAACCATGTGATCTTGAGACAGTCCCTTCCCTTCCTCATGCCTCAATTTCCTCATCTGTCAAATGGGCATAATAATGGCCCTTGCTTTGTCCAGCAGGTGTAAGAGAACTGTGATTATCAAGCAGAGCGTGGAAGTGCTTGGCAATGTCACCTTGGGCAGTGTCACCATGGAATTAGCAGAAAGGAAAGAAGAACTCGGTCAGGTGGGAACCCAGGTGCCCACAAAGCCCCTGCCCAGAGCAGGACTCACGCATTGCAGTAGGGCTTCTTCTCATAACCCTTGTAGTTCTTCATGTTCAGTGTCATCTTGCAGGTCTCGCAATGGAAGCATGCTTTATGCCAAAACTGGGGGTAGAGACAGAAAGAGAACATCCATCAGACACCAGGACTTCAGGAAGGGGACTCAGGCTCTAGGAAGGGGCGCTCAGAAGGGTTCCCTTCTAGGGACTATGCTAGGCCCACAACTGTGGGGAGAACACAGAATCACCCCAGGAGAGCAGGTGGTATCTCAGGTCATGGGGGCATTTCAGGTCACAGGCTCTGGCAGCAGATGAAACGTTTGAACTGATTGAGGAGGAGAAGGGCAGGCATGAAGGATGGGTGAGGAAGAGCCCAGTTATAGCAGCAGGGCAGCAGCCCCCATGTCAGCTCCACCTCCCACGGATGACTCCTCTGGCCCAGAGCTAGAAAGGCCTCATTGCTCATGCAAAGCTGCGCACTGGGTTGCCAAGAAGCTGCTGAACATGAAGGGGCAGCTCCTCTACCCTCCAAGATCACAGAAGGCGAAGGCCTAGTCCCCTTTCACATAGCCCCAGAACCCACGTATTCCTAACACATAACAGCTTCACATGAGCCTTGGGTGATGATGCTTCAGCTCTGATATCTCCCACTTCCTGTGGGATCCCTGGCTAGAGAAGTGGAGAGGGTGCCCCAGGCTCTGCCACCACCACCCCCCTTTTTGCTCTTCCCTCATCCTTCTACCCCAGCCAGAGGGTAGACAGTGCTTGGCAGCTGGTCTCCCCCCAGGTACTAAGAAGCTCTGCTTCAAAGCCTTAGAGGGGGACCTCCCACAGTAGACATCAAAGTTCCACCCACTCACTGTATGACCTTGGGCAGGGCCCTGCACTTGGGCAGAGCCCACTTCCTAGTCTGAAGAATGGATGTAATAACACCTACCCTTCTAGGACTGTTGAGGATTCATGAGAAATCACCTACAAAGCCCGTGGCCCACTCAGCACCGCTGAGGAGTACTCAGGCACTAGGGTCTCAGCACCTCTGAGTACTACTCAGAGGCTTGGTGCAGGCCCAGTAGGCATGAACCTCCCCCAAGGGGCTCAACAGCTGACAATGAAGGTTGTTGAGTACTGGAGACCAGGTAGGGCCTCACCTGTGCCCAACCACAGCTCCAATTCATTGAGACATGTGAGAATGAGGGACAGGCACAACTCTAGCAAAGCCCAGGGACCTGGAACTGAGCCACCAGGACCGATCCAGGGTAGCAAGGTGGTCAACAGAGGGGGGCACAAAAGAAAGTGACAAGGGAAGAAAAAACGATACAACAGAGGTGACTCCCTCTCTGAGAAGTGTGGATGCTCAAACTCATGCAGAGGTGACATCAATTACCCCCTGGCAGCCCAGGATGTGCCCCCCACACACCACCACTCTGCAATTACCACCAACCAGGGGTGTGCTGCCAAGACTCCAGAATCCAAGCTGCCTGAGTGACCAACTACTCTGTCCCTGCCCCATTTCCTAGCAGTCAAGAGAGATACTCTTGAGCCCCAAAGAAGTCCAGAGAAGGGCTGGGAAGACATTCCCAAGAGCCTAGCTACAGGGCTGGCTCTTAGCCATCTGTCAAGGAATTCCCCCAAGGCAAAATGTGATTCCCAAACCAAAAGGTGCTTCTGAGACACTAGAGGGAAGGGACAGTAGAAAGAAAGCTGACAATCTGGGATTCTACCTCTGGGATTCTACCTCTCCCACCATGGCCTACTTCAACTAGAAACCCCCAAGCTACTTTCAGGAGGAAATCACATTCTAATAGGGTATTTTCCCAATCAAGGAGACCCAAAGGAAAAATCTAACAGTGGAATATTAATCAACATGATATGGGAACCACTGTTGGGAAGAAAGCCAGCTGGAGGTCTAGAAGCAAAGGAGTGGCTGGTCTAAGCTTAGCCCCCTCCCCACCTGGGCCTATCCCAGTGCTGTCACCCCCCACCATGCAGCAACTTCCAGACTCCTCCAGTGTATAACCCCAACACATATAACCCACAGGAAAGCTAAAATGGGGTGGTCCCTGCCCCCACAGGCTCCCAAAGTGACAGTCCTACTCCCTCCTCCGGTGGCTGGGAGCTGTTGGCAGAAAGCCCCAGCCTTGTCACCACCCAGTCTGCTGGCCTCTGCCTGCTCAGCTGCACATGCCCCTGCCTGGGCCTCCGCCTCCCCCCACCCCCGCGGGGGCCTGCCAGGAAAAACATTCTCTGGAATCCAGACCATGACCCACTTTCACACACACATTCACAGGAATACACACTGTCCTGGGACCCGGGACCTCCAAGGCTGCCTCCTGCTTGACGTGGGGGTGACAAAGCGTGGAGATAATACATCCCTATTCTAGCAGATGGCCAGGCACCCACCAAGGGGTCAGGCCCACTAGAGGAGGCGGACAGAGTGTACTGACCAGGTTGGGGGTATAAGGCCAATACCTGATCCAGGATTCTACAAGGCCCCTCCTGGCTGCCACTTAGATGGGATGGTGCCCATCTCCATCAGTAGCTCTTTCTCCCCTCACCTCAGAGACCCCTTGCTCACAGCTAAACATGTTAAACTCTAACAGACAGAAGCTGGGGTAGGTACAGTGGTCACCTGTTCCCCTACAGGGGGCTCCAAAGCAGAATGAAAACAGGAGTGAACTGAGTGCCCTCAGGATAACTATTTATAAAGTGGAGATGCTGGGAGGGGTCAGAGGACAGGCTCCTGCCTAATGCCTGGCACCTCCAGCTGCTTCATGCCACCCTCCCCTCTCAGGAAGAGATTCAAGATTCAAGATTCAAGATTCAAGAAAATTCAATAGCTCCTGCCATTGTGTCCTTTTGGGGGTAGGAAAGTTGCAGGGTGAAAGGGACAGAAATGGCCAGTCCCTCCACCACCTCTGTGAACCAAGCCTGGGCTGGGCACCAAGTCCCCAGGATGAACAAATCCCTGTCCTTCAGCAGTGAGGTCTGCTGAAGGATACTGTCAGGGAAATAAGTCGATATAATCCCACCATGACCCTCTACCTTTATGCCCTGACCTATGAACCCTGTCCCTGAGCAAGAGTTCCCCCTCTTTGAGAGGTCCCAGGTAAGAATTCAGAGCTTCCTGGGACTCAGGATTCAGGGGAACAAAATGCACCTGGAAACATACACAGCCTTAATCTTCCCACTGCCCATAAAGTCCATGGTTTCCCTATTCACAGAAGCCAGAAATCCCCCAGACCAAACCCCCAATGTCCATGGGAAGCCTCTCAGCCCAGACCTAAGGCTCCAGGGAAGGGTCGCCCCTGACTCTCCCCTGCCTGCCTGC